TACTACCTTGACCTTTCTGACAGCATTTAAGAGGACAGCAGTTTGTTTTCATGCCATCCAGCCTTCATGCCATCCATTAAAGGAGTATTTTTTGAAACGCTTCCAAAGTTTTTAACATCTCTTTTGGGTAGTTTAGATATATTAGCCCCACAGGCACAGGCTCTTGACGCATCCGGGATTTGAGGGACTTCTGTTCCTTCAATCACTATTCTTGCATCCGCACCCCAGTCAATCTTCAGCACCTCATTGCTAACTTCCACTTCACCATCCTGAAATAAGTAGAAAATACATTTCAGTGTTTTTTGTGCAATCAGATTCGAAAACATTGCATTGTGTTTCAGGTTAACACAAGTTACAGTTTGATTTAAGCATCGTCTTTACTTACCAAGCTTTCCTTGAAGAGATCCTCCTTTTCACGAAGACACACCACCAAGCAACGGATAGCAACCTCTCTTTTTTCCACCAAATCATCCTTAAAAGGAGAACATTTTAATGTCGAGAAGGCATTGTCAGTTGTTGTTCATATTTATTTTAATCAGTTTTTATCAAATGTTACGTTAATTCTAACAAGAAAAAAAATATATATAAATAAATATATACATACTGTATAACAAATAATGAACTTTGACTGCATCTGTGAAACAAAGGATACAAAAAGTTAGCTAATCAGTATGCTATGCATGCTACAGTAGCTTAAAACAAGTAGCTGATGACTACCTTACAGCTTGTGTTATATGCAGTAAGCAGCTGTTGTAAATGAAGCTGAACAAAAATGGCTACTTACCAGGTAACTTTATAGATTATTAAGTTAAAATCCTGTTGTTCCACTGCTATCAAGAGTTCCGCTTCCAGGATGAACGCAGATTGCTCCAACTCCACATGCGGTCTGGCAGAGTCCAGGCGTGGGTTCAGTTTTGAAATGTTACCGTTGAAACTCAATAGATATGAGTTACTCTAACTTAGTATTTCTCTATAGTTGAGTCAACGCGGATTTTCTTTTTCAAAATTATTACATTTGTAAGTAAAATTTGTTTTGTTATTTTTCAGTTTGACCGACTTAAAGGTGGGGTAGGTACGTTTGAGAAACCGGCTCGAGATCAGGGTTCCCGCGGGGTCTTAAAAAGTCTTAAAAAGTCTTAAATCTGATAATCTGAATTTAAGGCCTTAAAAAGGTCTTAAATATGACCAAAAAAATAAGAAAGGTCTTAAATATGATTTAGAAGATCTTAAAAATGATCGGATTTGAAAGGTACTTCTGTGTTGCGATCGCGTCTAAATGTGTTTTGGGGGAAATGTCCGGGCTGCAAAGTAACCAGTACTGTAAGAGCCTTTCAGTTCCCCCCAACAATTTGTATTGAAATAAATCAACATGGAACCAGTAATCACTAACTTTGTTCCCCCCGGCCCCTTATTGGAGAACACCCAGCTAGTAACCTAGCAAGCAAGCTTCAGCTAGCGGCAGTCAGAAACTCATGTATCTTAGAATCTACTTAAAAATAAATATGGGGAAGTGTAAGTTCAACCGTATTTGGTTGGAAAACATCGAATTTAGTGCTTGGTTGAAACCAGTGGAGGGAACGTGTTTGAAGCCCGCTGCACCTTTTGCAAAAGAAATTAGCGTTTGTTTTGCTAATGCAGCGTTAGCTAGTGCAGCAGCTCCCGCAACAACACCGGGGGACCTCCGGGCGACGTGTGGGTACGTCAACCCTAAAAGAAAAGCGGAGGTGCTGTAGACGCTAAATACCGTAGCTAAACACCAATCATACAACAGCAACGATGAAAGATTGTAGCCAAGGCAGCAGAGCTCCGAATATAGCTCTTGTCACTCTCTCACACACACACACACACACACACACACACACACACACACACACACACACACACACACACACACACACACACACACACACACACACACACACACACACACACACACACACACACACACACACACACACACACACACACACACACACACACACACACACACACGGGCTGCTCGATTATGGCAAAAATCATAATCACGATTATTTTGGTCAATAATTGATATCAAGATTATTAAATACGATTATTCATTGACTTTGAAAACATCCATTTATTGAACTTTAAAACAAATAATAATTTGAACAGTATATTTTTAACTGTTGATTACCCTGAACGTATAATTCAACTGCAAAACCAATACAAAAATAAATTAAATAAATTATACATTTAAATAAATAATATCAAAATAATAAATACCAATAAACAAGATCAACACATCTTTTGGAGCGCACTTCCACAAGCTATTAAACATATATAAATATGATAAATAAAAATAAATTAGACTAAAATTAATTAGATCAAATATGTTGTAGTGCACTGTCACAACCTAGCAAAGCAAAATCATTTCGTAATTGTGGCAGGCCAAAATCGTAATTGCGATTAAAATACGATTAATTGCACACCCCTAACACACAGACACACACATACACTTTTTGTCTAACACGCTCACACAGTTCTGTACTGTTATGCCTTTACATTTACTTTGTAAGTAATTATGGGACGTATTTCTTCTTTCATAGCAATTTTCCTTCATACTTTCTTGCCGTGAAATAGGTCTTAAATTCTATTCAAAGTGGTCTTAAAAAGGTCTTAAAAAGTCTTACATTTGAGTAGGCGAAACCTGCAGGAACCCTGGAGATACACTTTTTGTTATATTCCATGGAATGCTCTTAACATCCCGATAGCAATGAATATCTTAAGTGCTTTGACAAAAAATCCATGCAAAAATTTAATCTGTGGAAGCCGTAATACTGTAAAAAGCACGACCAATCATTTTAGCCGGCCCGGCTAAAATAACTGGATGGCCTACCTGCCTGTCAGCCTTCCATCTGTGCACAAACTTATTGCCCTCATTGGTCATGTGCGCGTTCGTGTGTGTTGGAGGAGGGGCTCTGTAAGGAAGTGGCAGATTTGTTCCGGTTGTGTATTTTCAAATTCTAGCGCACTCGAGCTGGTTTCTCCAAAATTACCTACCCCACCTTTAATAAAATGAGTTGTAAACTAGCTAAAATAAGTTGAGGTAAAAAACACAATTTTTTATGTTGAAAAAGTATTTTTTTTTAAGTGTAATCTACTACCCCCATGAATCATTTTTTAGAGTGTATTTCCTTAGCAAAACTGCATTCCCTAAGCATTATTTCTAATTTGTCAAAGAAAATAGCTTTTGCAGACGGTGGTCTGCACACTCCAATGAGAATGAAAGACATCTGTGGTGATATGCTAACATTAAGACAGATATGCTCAAGCTCATTCTCTAGATGAGTGTATCTTTAGATAATTTGTTTCGTATTCTTTGGGCCGAGTACAATAACTTCAGTTTTGTCCGTGTTAATATACAAAAATGTAAGGTCATTCAAGTTTTTAATTCTTAAAGGCAGTTTTGTATTGTATTAAGATGATTGTTTTCATCAGGCTTGATAAATAAATATAATTGTGTATCATCCGCATAACAATGAAAATGTACAGAGTGGTTCCTTATAATATTGCCTAACGGAAGTATACTGTATATAATGTGAACAAAATAGGTCCTCCATGGCTAACTTCAGTTTGCATGGAAGATTCATCGTTGACACATACAAACTGAGACCGTTCAGATAGATAGGACCTAAACCAGCCTAAAGCAGTTCCCTTTATGCCAACTAAATGCTCTAGTCTTCGCAATAGGATGTCATGGTCGATAGTATCAAATGCAGCACTGAGATCAAGCAAGACAATAATAGAGACAAGTCCTTTGTCTGAAGCTATTAGAAGGTCATTTGTGACTTTAACCAGAGCTGTCTCTGTGCTATGATGTGTTCTAAACCCAGACTGAAAATCCTCAAATTAATCATTGTTTTTTAAGTAATCACACAACTGTTTTGCGACTGCTTTCTCAAGGATTTTTAAGAGAAATGGAAGATGAAAGATAAAACCTCTGGATCGATGTTGTGCTTTTTAAGAAGAGGTTTTATCACAGGTACTTTAAAGGATTGTGGTACGTAGCCTGATAGTAAAGACATATTAAATATATTTCATAAAGCACTGTTAATTAATGGGAAAACTTATTTTAACAGTTTAGTTGGAATCGGGTCTCAGTAACACGTTGATGGTTTAGAAGAAAGAATAATTGAACTCAGTTGTTCAAGGTTTATGGGAGAAAAGCAGTCTAAATTACTAGTGTTGTATTAGACCTTACATTTCCAGGAGCTGATGATAACACTTTACAGATAGAAGGCAGGAGGTGATTAATGTTGTTTCTAAAGAGTAATAATTGTATCATTAAAAAAGCACATCAAATCATTACTACTGAGTGCTATAGGAATAGAAAGCTCAATAGAGCTGTGGCTCTCTGTCAGCCTGGCTACAGTGCTGAAAATAAATCTTGCATTATTCTTCTTCTCTTCTATTAATGATGAGTAATAAGCTGCTCTCGCTTTACGAATTGCTTTCTTATAGTCATTGAGAGTAATATGCCAAATTAAACAAGATTCTTTGAGCTTAGTTGAACGCCATATCCTTTCAGGTTGTCTCAACTTTTGCTTTATTTTGCGGGTTTCAGGGTTATGCCATGGAGCTAGTCTTTGTTGTTTTATTTTCTTCTTTTTCAAAAGAGTAACAGAGTCTAATGTTATTCACAGCGAACCTGTAGCACTATCACCAACATGATCAATTTGGGCTGGTGTTCATTTTTTACAAGATTCCTCCCTTACATAAAAACATGGTATTAAGTTAAATGTTGATGGAATCTCTTCCTTAAATTTGGCTGTAGCACTCACAGATAGATTTCTACTGCAGGACATTTTTGACTGTCTGTTTTTAAACACACACTAACAATTATAACAGCAACTTTTGTCTCTTTGTAGAAACTTTGTGTTGTGTTTAGTGATGCACTCTCGGTACAATGACATCAATTCTGGTACAATCACATTTTAGTTAAATCACCACACTAACAAGAAATATAGTTTGACAAACTGAGGTAAATTGGACTCTCTTTTATTGTTTAAGCATTGTTTGATGAAGATGTCCTTCGCTCCACCGCTGAAGCTCAGTTGGCCAGTCTAGCGGCGAGACGCTGAGCTTGAGGAAGAGGAGGAGGAGACCACCTTTCCATCCACAACCTCCTCTACCACCACGATTGTCTTCGTCATGGTCCTTGAGGAGGAGGAGGAAGAGGAGGTGCTGACACTGCAGGTCAATCAGAAAACAGAACAGTGTGAGCTCAGTGTATTATTATGCAGGTGTTTTTCAGATCTCACTTATTTGGTTAAAACATTTCTCGTTAATGTGTTTTATTTCCCAACATACTAAGCTTTCTCTAGAAGAATTATGACTATAAATCAAAGACAATATTCTGAGAAATATATTCAGATTTTTCTCAGAATTCTGACTTTATTCTCAGAACTCAAAAAGAAAATTGATTTTGGTCAGATCTAAAAGAAAATGCACATGACATGAGGCCCTAATCCTCTTCTGTACTTCTCCACACTGCACAGAACACCTATTTATTTACTAAATAAATGTGTCTTTTAGAAGACACGGCCACAATGCCCCTCTTGCTTCCAGGTGCGCAGCGAACACCTGAGCCTCCTCCAGCCGCGTCTCACCTGCTGCTGGTCTCTCCGTCCAGCAGCCTCCTGTACTCGGAGATCTCCATCTCCAGGCGGGTCTTGATGTCCAGCAGCATCTGGTACTCCTGTCCCTGCCTCTCCAGGTCAGCCCTGAGCTGCATCAGCTGCTCCTCCATGCTGCTCACCTGCACAGGTAACGAGAATGACAGGTTAAACACTCCATATGTTCTGCCACTAGAGGGCACTCTATCAGAACAAGAGGAAAATATAAATGATGTCAGTAAATACCCCATTGGCAAATGTCTGAAGCTTTTATGTGTCTTAAAAAAGGTGGTTGCTAACAGGCAGGGTTGGGACAGTTACTTTACTGAGAATCTAAATATTAAAGTAATTTAACCAGATTACTTTCCGTAACTTTTGAATAACTTTAATATTAAATGCGGTGCAAATAAATACAAGATGAGATGGTTTTTACTTTAGTGTATTTTGTAAGACAACAAAACAATGTGACCTTAGAAAAGAAGAAACCAAGATGTATTATTTAGTATGAAAAATGTGTCCTCTGCTCAGAGATTTCATTTATAGGAAAACCTGCCTTTCATTAAGCATGTTCAGGCAGTAGCACGTACTACAGTTTAAAAAAGCAGAAATAAAATCTGAGCTGACAGAAAATGCTTCGTTTTAGTTTAATAGACACAGTTAAGCTCACATACACTATTTTATGAACATATAGGTTCACCTACTGAATTAAAAACAGAACAAATGAACCAAAGAAAAAGAAAGCTCTTTTACATTTTTTGGAGTAACATTGTAATCCTGCTAGTAATCACAGTACAGTAATCTGATTACCGGTATGAAACTGTAAGGGAATACAGTTACCTTTTTTTGTATCCTGATTATGTAATCACATTACATGTAATCAGTTACTCCCTAAACCTGCAAACAGGCGGCTAAATGGGAATACTGCTGTGACTCAATTGGTAAACGTCCCTTAGTACACTGCATGTGGATCACTGTGAACATTTGTGCAGTGCCTGAAATTCGACCTTGCTCGACTAAGTTTTCTCAAACGCACACGGTTGTTGTGCCCTCACAGGAAGTGACAATCGCTGCTGTTACGTTACCAGTACCATATAATTAAAGACTGCTCAATTAAGCCTATAAAATAACTCATTTTTGACACCAGTATAGGGGTACTTAAATAGTGAAAAAACCCACAAATTATTTTATAACTTTTGTTGGTTTAGCTCTAACCACAAGTTACCGCAATCCCGGAGAGTCGTGTAACTTCCATTAGGAGGTCTCAAGAAGTGAGGATTTATCAGATTTATTTTCTCCTAAAATGTCCCCAGTAGGGAGTCTTCTCCAACTCACCATCACCTTGATTCAAATGACACGTATCTCTTAAACATTCAGGATGTAACTACCCGACTCACCAAATAGATACTTTTGAATACAGAAACATTACATATTATACTTTAACAAGTGTTCCAGTCTTACCTGCATCTGGTATTGGGACAGCTGCATGGAGAAGCGGACCTGTATTTCGGCCAGAGATGCCTCCATAGAGCTTTTCTGCAAAAACAGAGTTATTGTTTCAGATTAATATCTATGTATATTTCAGCTGTATTATTTATGTATGAAACAGTACGCCCAGTGATACAAGGTTATTCAAATGAGCTCCATGCTTACCAGCTGAAACATTGAGTCGATTAACACATTAATTGTCACATCCTGGCCCTGGCTGATTGTCTCACTCCCTCACTTTCCCTGTGTGTTTTTCCTTCCCTGTTAATCACCTGCCTGGCCTCAATGAGCCTCAGCTGCCCCTAATCATTACTCATCACCTGTGTATTTAGTCTGTGCTGTTTCCTTGGTCAGTGCCAGTTCGTCTTGTCTGTATAGCAGCAAGTGCTCCATGTTACTCTCCTGACATAAGCTATTGTTCTAGCTGCTTAGCATTTTTACCAACCTAGTTGGTTGTTTTTTGTTGTTGCTTCTTTAGTAGTTTTCCGCCAACTTGTTGGTTGTTTTTCGTTCCTTCCAGTCTTTACATTTTTGGACCTTTGCCTGTATTTGCCTTTTGGATTAAACGCCTGACTAAAGACCTTTTTGCCTGGTTGTGCTCTTGAGTCCTATTTTTGCTCGTGCCCGTACTTGGGCTTGATAGTACGAACTGGCCAGCATGGACTCAGCCGACCAGGATTCTGTGCGGGCTGCTCTTCAGAGTCAAGGGAGGAGGATTTTCCACCAAGAGGAGGAACTTACCGGGCTTCGCCAGGACTTAAAGTTGATGGCCGAGAGACAGGAGTCAGTTTTGTCGTCTTTTGGTGGGCAAGTCTGTTATTTGGTCGAAAATATCCAAAAACTATTCCTCCAGTCAAGTCCTCCAGCTCCCCCATTGTCTGTTTCCCCAGTGGATCCTACTCCAGTCCAGTCTCCAACTCCGACCCTGTCTCCTCACCTCTCCCGACCAGAGCGGTTTTCTGGGGATTCCGGTGATTGTCGGGCTTTCCTGGCTCAATGCGGCCTCCACTTTGAGCTCCAGGCTGCATGCTTACCCGTCTGAGCGCTCAAGGGTGGCATACATTATCTCCCACCTTTCTGGCCGAGCTGAGGCTTGGGCGACGGCAGAGTGGGTGCGAAGGTCTCCCGTTTGTGACTCCCTCAGTCTCTTCTCTGAGACCTTCACCAAGATCTTCCAGCACATCCCACCTGGGCGGGAGGCAGCCAGAGCACTCGTTGGATTGTGCCAGGGTAAGCAGAGTGTTTCTGACTATGCTATAAAGTTCCGTACCCTGGCAGCGGACAGTGACTGGAACCAATCAGCATTGTTTGATGCTTTCCTTTATGGATTGTCCGGCACTTTAAAGGATCAGTTAGCTCCTCTTGAGCTTCCAGCTGATTTGGACTCCCTAATTTCATTGACTATTAAGATTGACCAGCGACTGATGGAGAGAGAGCGAGAGAGAGACACTGCGATCCCCTGTTTCTCCCACAAGAGGCAGTCTTCGCCCAGCTCTTCGTCCTCATGGAATCACCCCAGGCCCTGGCTTCCGTCTACAGCGCCTCTGTCGCCCCCTGCTGTTCCGGAGGAGCCCATGCAGCTCGGCAGGACCAAGCTGACCCCTGAGGAGCGACAGCGCCGCCTGCGGGAGGGCAGGTGCTTCTACTGTGGTGAACGGGGACACTCAATCGCCAACTGTCGCCTGCTAAAAGGTCTGGCTCGCCAGTAAAGAAGAGGGCACTGGTGAGCCGCACTACACTTAATGTTAGTCCCTCACGTGGTCTCCCAAATGTCACTCTTTCTTCGTCTTCTGTGGTTCTCAGGCATCCTGTTTTGGTAGACTCTGGCTCAGATGCCAGTTTTATAGACCTTGAGTTGGCTAAGAAGCTGAACCTTGAGACTTTCCCTCTTCCAAGACCAATGGAAGCAAGTGCCTTGGATGGCCGTCTTCTCTGTAGGGTAACTCACCACACCCAACCTCTTCAGCTAAGTTTCCTGGACGGTCACACTGAGCTTCTCGTCTTTCATGTTTTTCGGTCCCCCGAACACCCAATCATTTTGGGGTACCCCTGGCTTACCCTACATAACCCCCACATAGACTGGTCCACTGGCAAGATTATTGCTTGGTGTAAGGGATGTTCAAGTACCTGTTTTCTGTCCAAATGTTCCATGGCTGCCCCTCCAGCTGTCCCTGTAATTCAAGACATTTCAGATCCTGATTTCCCTGACATTTCCAAGGTCCCTCAGTGTTACCATGACCTTAAGGAGGTTTTTAACAAGGCCAGAGCCACCTCGCTGCCCCCTCATCGGGTGTACGATTGTGCTATAGACTTGTTACCAGGCTCTTCACCACCCAGGGGTCGTCTTTATTCCCTATCTGCTCCAGAGACACGGGCGATGGAGGAATATGTGGAGTCTTCACTAGCCACTGGATTAATTCGACCCTCTTCCTCTCCCGCTGGAGCCGGATTTTTCTTTGTGGCAAAGAAGGACAAGTCACTTCGCCCCTGCATTGACTATCGTGGTTTGAACGACATTACCATCAAGAACAGGTACCCCCTTCCTCTTATGTCATCAGCTTTCGACCAGTTACAAGGTGCTAAGATCTTTACCAAGTTAGATCTTAGAAATGCTTATCATCTGGTGAGAATAAGGGAAGGGGATGAATGGAAAACTGCCTTAACACCCCAAGTGGCCTCACAAATGCGCCAGCTGTGTTTCAGACTTTGATCAATGATGTACTTCGAGACATGCTTAACATCTTTGTTTTCGTGTACCTGGATGATATCCTCATCTTCTCCCCTGACGAAACGACCCACAGAGATCATGTACGCCGCGTCCTACAGCGCCTCCTGGACTACCACCTCTTTGTCAAGGCCGAGAAGTGTGAGTTTGATGTTTCCACTGTTTCATTTTTGGGCTTTATTGTGTCAGTGGGCAATGTTTTGATGGATCCGGCTAAGGTTAATGATGTCTCTGAATGGCCTGTCCCTGTAAACCGCAAACAAGTGCAGCGGTTTTTAGGGTTCGCCAACTTCTATAGGCGATTCATAAGAAACTTTAGCACTGTTGCTGCTCCATTGCATGTACTAACCTCCCCAAACACAAGGTTTCAGTCGGACCAGGCCTTCCAGAGGCTCAAGAAAGCCTTCACCACAGCCCCTATACTGATCCTCCCGGACCCACATCTGCAGTTTATGGTAGAGGTGGACGCTTCAGACGTGGGGGTTGGTGCTGTGCTCTCCCAGCGCTCCAGAGAGGACAACAAGGTTCACCCATGTGCTTTCCTCTCCCGGAAGCTTTCCCCTGCTGAGAGGAATTACGATGTGGGGAATCGGGAGCTGTTGGCTGTTAAGGTGGCACTGGAGGAGTGGCGTCACTGGTTAGAGGGAGCTGAAGTGCCATTTCTTGTGTGGACCGATCACAAGAACCTGGAGTACCTGCGCACAGCGAAGAGACTCAACCCTCGTCAAGCCAGGTGGGCTCTCTTTTTTAATCGGTTCAACTTTTCACTGTCTTATCGTCCTGGTTCTAAAAACACTAAGCCTGATGCTCTCTCGTCTCTTTGATACGGGCTCTGACCCTTCTCCCCCCACTACCATCCTGCCTCCCTCATGTATGGTGGGTGCTGTTACCTGGGCTATTGAGGAGAAGGTCAGAGAAGCAAATGTTGGTAACCCAGGCCCGAGTGGTTGCCCTCAGAACAGGTTGTTTGTGCCCTCTCCTCTTCGCTCTCAGGTCATCCACTGGGCTCATGCGTCCTCTCTCTCCTGCCATCCGGGGATCAAACGGACCATGTTTGTGGTCAAGCAACGCTTCTGGTGGCCCAAGATGGAGAGGGAGGTGGGGGAGTATGTTGCTGCCTGCCCGGTGTGTGCTCGGAACAAGGTTTCTCGTCGGCCTTCCCCTGGTCTCCTACGTCCCCTTCCTGTACCTACTCGCCCTTAGTCGGACGTTTCTCTGGACTTTGTTACAGGTCTTCCCATGTCCCAAGGTAACACAACCATTTTGACCATTGTCGACAGATTCTCAAAGTTGGTGCACTTTGTTCCTCTGCCCAAGTTACCCTCTGCCAAGGAAACGGCGGAGGTTGTCCTGTCCAATGTTTTCCGGTTACATGGCTTCCCTAAAGATGTTGTGTCGGATCGGGGTCCCCAGTTCGTCTCCAAGTTTTGGAAGGAGTTCTGTGCTCTCCTGGGTGCCACCGTTAGCCTCTCCTCCGGCCATCATCCTCAGTCCAACGGACAGACCGAGCGGCTCAACCAGGAGTTAGAGACCGGCCTGCGTTGTCTCGTCTCTCAGAACCCCACTACTTGGAGTAAGAATCTCATCTGGGTTGAGTATGCGCACAACACATTGCCTTGCTCTTCTACTGGTCTTTCCCCATTTCAGTGTGCTTATGGCTACCAACCGCCCCTGTTTCCGTCCCTGGAGGGAGAGGTCAGGGTTCCTTCTGCCTTGGCACTGATTCGGAGGTGCCGTCGCATCTGGAATGGGGCTAGACAAGTGCTGCTTAGGACATCTGCTCGGTACAAGAGGGCAGCAGACCGCAGACGGATCCCTGCTCCCACCTATCGTGTCGGCCAGAGAGTATGGCTCTCCACTCGGGACCTTCCTCTTCGAGTCGAGTCCCGTAAGTTGGCTCCTCGCTTTGTCGGTCCCTTCCCTGTCTCAAAGATTATTAATCCTGTTGCTGTGAGACTCAAGCTTCCCAGGTCCATGAGGTCGCACCCAACTTTCCATGTGGCTCGGATCAAGCCGGTCAAAGAGAGTCCTCTGGTCCCTGCCTCCAGACCCCCACCGCCCCCCCGGTTCATCGATGGAGGGCCAGTTTATTCTGTCAAGCGGCTCTTGGCAGTTCGCCGGCGGGGTCGTGGACGCCAGTATCTGGTGGATTGGGAGGGCTATGGTCCTGAGGAGAGGGAATGGGTATCTTCAAAGAACATTGTCGACCCAGACCTCATCCGGGATTTCCAAAGGCATCATCCAGACGAGCCTGGACCGTCCGGTGCCGGTCGTTGAGGGGGGGGTACTGTCACATCCTGGCCCTGGCTGATCGCCTCACTCCCTCACCTGTGTGTTTTTCCTTCCCTGTTAATCACCTGCCTGGCCTCAATGAGCCTCAGCTGCCCCTAATCATTACTCATCACCTGTGTATTTAGTCTGTGCTGTTTCCTTGGTCAGTGCCAGTTCGTCTTGTCTGTATAGCAGCAAGTGCTCCATGTTACTCTCCTGACGTAAGCTATTGTTCTAGCTGCTTAGCATTTTTACCAACCTAGTTGGTTGTTTTTTGTTGTTGCTTCTTTAGTAGTTTTCCGCCAACTTGTTGGTTGTTTTTCATTCCTTCCAGTCTTTACATTTTTGGACCTTTGCCTTATGGATTAAACGCCTGACTAAAGACCTTTTTGCCTGGTTGTGCTCTTGAGTCCTATTTTTGCTCGTGCCCGTACTTGGGCTTGATATTAATGCATCAAAAATTGTGATACAACAACATTTCTTTTGTATTCTGCAGAATTAGTTTGACTTTTGGTACATTTACTGCTAATATTATCTACTTGAGTAGCAATTTGAATGCATGACTTTAACTTTTAAGAAAGAAAATCATACAATTAAAAACAAAGCGAGAATATGAAAGTAAAAGTAGCGCAAATAGTTGTCAATACAAAATAAAACAAGGTGATATAAATGACATTGAATTTGAATGCACAGGGACACTCACATTGCTCAGTGCGGCCTGCAGCTCGACCTGCAGAGACTGCAGCATGCGTTTGACCTCCGACACCTCTGACCTGCTTGTATGCAGAGTCTCCGTCTGCGTCACCACCTCTCTGTTCAGCTCCTCCGACTGCACACACACACACACACACACACACACAGTCATTTTAAGTATCTTTGTAATCATGTTGTGTCTCTTTGTAGTCATTTCTGCCTTTTTTTTAAGTAATTTTGAGTGTCTTTATAGTCATCTTATCGTTCTTTGTAGTTATTTTGTGCAACTTTGTGGTAATTTTGTCGACAGGAAGTGAAGTCAGGGAGTTACCTTTGTCTGGAACCAGATCTCCAGCTCTCTCTGGTTCTTGGCGGTGACGCTTTCGTAGTACTCTCTGATCTCGGCCATCTCCTTATTGAGGTCGGGACCCTGAGCGGCGTTCACCTCCACGTGTACCTGGCCGCTCATCTGAGCATGCATCGCCAGCAGCTCCTACAGGGAAACAAGAAACAAGAGTTTACCTAGTTCTATTTGTTATAGTACACAATAAAAGAACATGTTTATGGCTTTAAATTATCATTATAAGGTTAATGATAAATATAATGGCTATACAACAGTATTATTAACATTTAGATTGGCTCCCTACAAGCATTGATTTCACTTTACATTCATACAAAATACATTCAAATTGATATACGTCCTGATCAGATTTGATTTCTAATAAATATTACATAATGTGTTTTTAATAATGCAGTACTTTTCAAGTTTGATTAAAGAGGCCTGGAAGAAAACCTGCTACACTTATTTATGACTTACATTTTTAAAAGTAGATTTTAACAGCGGTCTGTAATTAAATAAAGCTAGCTTTTTTGTGCTCTCTGACCTCTTCATGGTTCTTCCTGAGGAAGATCAGCTCCTCTCTCAGACCCTCGATCTGCATCTCCAGGTCGGACCGGCTCATGGTCAGCTCGTCCAGGACTCTCTTCAGGCCGGCGGTGTCAGCCTCAACAGACATACGCATGGCCAGCTCGTTCTCATACCTGCACAGAATGACATTATAAATAATATTTTAAAATACATTTAAATAGATTTTGCTTCCATAACATGCCATTTGAAAGAAAGTATCCCAAACAACATTTAGGAGTTTATTTGACTAAATGTGTCTATTTGTCTATTTGGTAGCAGCACTAGTTGCAGTAGTTGTTGCAGTAGTAATTGTAACCGTTGCAGTAGTAGCAGTGCAGGTTATACTAATAGCAGGACTAGTTGCAGTTGTTTAGAAGCTGCAGTAAAAGATGCAGGTATTAGATGCATAAGATGCTGCATTAACTTTATTTGCTGTTGTAGTAACACTACCAGTGTAGTTGTAATATAAGCTGTTATATTTGAAGTATTTTTGTTAGTTGAAGTACTAGCTATTGCAGTATTAGCTTTGTTAGCTGCAGTAGTGGCTAGCTTTATTAGTTACAGTTAGTAGCTTGTTTAGCTGTAGTTGGCTAGTAGCTATATTAACGGCGGTAGTAGCTTAATGAGCTGCGCTTTGTTAATTGCGGTAGTAAGCTAGCTACTGTATGTTAGCTGCAATATTAGCTATATTAGCTGCAGTAGTAGGCTAGCTTTATTAGCTGCAATAGTTTTCTTTTTGTTTACTTTAATCAATAGTATTAGCTGCAGTAGAAGCCTTATTAGCTAGTAGTTCATGACCTTCGTCAGTTTAGCCCTGATCAACCTGTATGAACGGTGTCTTCCCACCTGTTCAGTATCAGTGTTAGTGTGGGGAAGGTAAACAGGTGTCCGTTGACTGACAGGTGGCAGCAGCAGGCTGTCAGCCCACTCTTAAAACTGGTTCTAATTAACACGCTTCAGGAGAGTAATCTGTTAATCTGATATTTTACAGAATCATTCATGCACAATTTAACGTGTGTGTGTGTGTGTGTGTGTGTGTGTGCACGTGCGCACGTGCGCTCTCACTTGGTCCTGAAGTCGTCTGCAGCCAGCCTGGCGTTGTCGATGGTGAGATGAATTGTTCCGTTCACACTGATGGCGCCGTGAATCTGGAAAAAAACAAACAGGTTCTTTTAAATGTATACACAATATTCATCTTCTGATGGAAGGTATGAGTAACACATCTAAAGTGCATACACAAAGCTATATCTGTTTTCATTTATTAAAGATACTAATACATCTCCCCCCACTTCCATTAGTTATTTCATGCGTTATAATACCACTACTACAGTTGTTGCTTAAAGAAATAAATACACTGAACAAACACTGTTTGCTAGTGACGTACAGTATATAACATGATCAGATGACAAAATAAAAAGTAATTTATATCCACCCAGATTATAATGGAAAACATTATTACATTGTAATCACATAGTTTGTATATTATTTTGTAAGTGATAAAAACTGAGTAATATGATATAATAGAACAAGACTTGGATTTACTACGTTTATTGAGGTAAAGGATATGAGTACACTGCATTTACTCAGTTACCCTACTTAGTACCATCACTCGTGTAATTTTGTGGTACTTGGCTATTTTCCACCCATATACCTTTGTTACTTCTGAGTCGTCAGAATCAGAGATACTGCATTTTATTTCTGATTTCGAAACAGTTGCTCTATTTTAGAATAAAACCAAATAAAACATATTTTTATAAAAATAGAGATGTTCAAGTAAAAAAGTGAATATTGTAATGCAATTTGTAAAATCATTAAATATCGTTGTCATAAATTACGATTTTTTTTTTATACAAATCACACTTAAGAGTTAGTGAACTATGAAGATTTTGTTATACTTTCATGTATTTAAAATTATTTTGGGCCAGTACTTTTCCTGCATTATCTGAGAATAGTACCTTGGCGGTGAGTTCTGCGATGGTGGCGGTGAAGGCTCTGTGGTCTCGGGTGCTGGGGCCGGCCTTGCTCTCCAGGAACTGTCTGATCTTCAGCTCCAGCTCTCCGTTGGCCTTCTCCAGGCTGCGCACCTTGTCCAGGTAAGTGGCCAGGCGGTCGTTCAGGTTGTTCATGGTGGCCTTTTCATTCCCAATGATACTGTCATTCATGCCAGCCATGCTGAAGCTCGTGCTCATGCTGCTGTAGCTGCTGCCTCCGCCACCGCCTCCTCCCATGGAGATGCGGCTCCCTTGGCCTCCCGCCCCGCCGTACACGCTGCCCGCCCTCATGCCAATCATGTTGCCACTGGAGGAGCTCCGCATGGAGGAAGATGAAGAACGACGGAAGGACATGATGTCTTTGTGCAGGCACAGAGAGGAGAGTGAAGGGCTGCAGCACGTGAATCCTTTTAAACCTTCAGCTCCATCAATCACTCCACAGGTGCAGCTCTGACAGGTATGCACAGGAAGCCTCTCCTCTGTGGGTGGGACCAGGTATGGTCAGAGAAAAATGTAACCTTTAAAGAGCTGCACACAGGCGTGACAATGCATGTTTGTATCTCTGTCAGGGTGTTGCTCTGTGACCTTTGCAACTTATTACTCAGCAGCAGTGGTGGGAAAAGTTCTTAGATCATGTACCTTAGTAAAAGTAGAGGTACCAGAGTGTAGGAATACAAGTAAAAGTACAAAAGTATTACCATAAAAAGATACTTAAAGTACTCATTGTGCAGATTGGCCCTTTTCAGAATATATGCTATGTTTTATAATTATTGATGCACTAAAGTGTTATCAAAGCTGGTAAAGGTGCAGCTAGTTTTAATGGCTTTGTATACTGCGGGGTAGCTTGTGAATTTACCCCAGGTGTAACTAAAGTATGATTTAAGAGTTGATTATATTTCACATCATTAATCCAAATCTGTAAAGTAACTGAATATATTAAATACATGTAGTGGAGTAAACTACTCCATTTACCTCTGAATCTTAGTGGAGTAGAAGCAAAAAGTAACATAAAATGGAAATACTCAAGGAAAGTACAAGTATCTCAAAGTTCTACTCAAGAACTTGAGTAAATGTGCTTTACCAGCTCTGCCCAGACGGCATCTGGACTTTACTCTATTTGAATATTTCGAAGTTGTCCCAATTTACACTTACCACATTTCATCCCAGACTGACAGACAGATGTTGACTATGTGTACGTTGCGTTTAAATGAGCCTACTGCATATTGAGTACTTTTGACAAGTACATTTTGCTGAAGTAATGCAGGACTTTTACCGGTCTTGGAGTATTTTCTGTTGTTAAAAACAATTCAAGTTAATTTAGCTGATAATGCTGGTGCACTATTTTTTTATTTGTATTCCATTGATGTCCCTTACGCTTGGGACATGTCCCCTCCAGTTTTGTTTTTGAATGTTCCTTAAAAATAGCATGCACAAAGCTTGTGATGAATGAGACTGCATTAAGAGAGGTTTATTTGCACAAGAGAACATGTTCAAACTACTGTTCCCACTTGGGTGTATTTCTGGGGACCCAAGTGGTACAATTTGGACATGTGCCACATTTCATTTTAGGAGACTTTGAATAACAAAATAGAGATGGATAGCAAACATCTCTCCTGCTTTGCAGCAGCGGGGCAGGGTGAACAGCACGCTGTACAGCAGCAGGGCACAGCCAGGCACCGCACTAATTGTAGTGTGTGGGGTGCATTACACTAGTTTTTCTTAATTGGAAAAAAGTGTCTCACCACTTGTTGAAACAAAGTCACGTTCATGTTTGAGAGATTGATATTACTACTTTTTCTTAAGTGAAACATCTAAGTACTTTGTGAACCACTGCTTTAATTGAAGTATTCAGTTTCAAATTAAAGGTACATTCTGTCTTTACTTCGTAGACTATATCAGAGCTCCTAAAGTTGCACACACATATAAATGCTTTTGTGTATCACTGTCAGTGTGTAAGGTCTTTATTAGCCTGCAGCTCCCACAGACCTTTGCATTGTAATTACCCAGCACGCACTTGTACAAGCAGATCTGTCGAAACAGGTAGAAAAAGATCAAGTTCAGGCACTGAAAAGGTCATTTACAGAAGAATACTAAATGTCACCACACTTGTGGAATGATTGTGGGCGAGGTAATCACACACTGACAGGAATCTAAATGTCACCAAGTGGAGGTTAAAGTTTATAGTAGCTGCTGAAGTCACGGCCCAATGATATTGAAAGAAGTCGGATAACTGCTTGTATCTCACAAAACACACAATAGAAACAGATTAAAATAAATATGAGTTTAGTTAAAGAGCAATGCATGGTTAGGTTTAAGTTCGGTCATTTTAATAATTTACACAAAGACATTTTTAGTTTGCAGGACTTTGCTGCATAATTTGCAGGACTTTGCTGCATAATGGAAACATTGTTGTTTATTTCTTCTATCTCAGAAACAAAGAGTGTTTTAAACTAAGTGCAGTGGCTGGGAAAGCATGGAGAAACTTTAGGAAGCAGTTTTTTTTCGGTAGAACAATAAAGACATCTTAAATATATAAAAAGAAAGTGCCTTTGACTTTTCTTTGTACTTCTTTGTGTCTGCATGTATCCTTATCCAAAAATAACCTCTAACTAAAATGTTTTTAGTCCAGGAAGTGCTCCTGTACAAAGAACATTGTGGGAAAAGGTCAGATTGTTCATTGTGTGTCTCTTTGTAGTCTTTTTGTGTCTCTTTGTAGTCATGTGTGTCTCTTTGTAGTTGTTTTGTGTAGCCTTGGTAGTTGATTTGTGTAGCCTTGGTAGTTTTTTTGTAGTCATTGTGTGTCTCTTTGTACTTGTTATGTGTCTCTTTGTAGTTGTTTTGTGTCTCTTTGTAATTGTTTTGTGTCTCTTTGAAGTTGTTTTGTGTCTCTTTGTAATTGTTTTGTGTCTCTATGTAGTTGTTTAATGTCTCTTTGTAATAGTTTTGTGTCTCTGTAGTTGATTTGTGTAGTTATTTTGTTAGTCAATATCTCTTTGTTGTTTTTGTTGTATCTTTGTGAATGTTTGTGTTCCTTTGTAGTTGTTTTAAAAACATCTTTCTGTAGTTGTTTTCATGTTTTTGCAGTAGTTTTATTTATAATCATTTAGTGAAGAACTCTCTTCTTGGTAGTTTCTATTTTTGTGTCCATTTTTTATTCTCTAGTTGATTTGCATTATCTTACGGTAGTCGTTTTTCTTTCTGTTTGTTTAGTGTCTCTCTGAAGTCCTTTTATGTCTCTTTGTATTCATTTTGCACGTCCTTTTGTAGTTGTTTTGTATCGTATTTTGGTACTCTATATCTCTTTGTAGTTTTTGTTGCATCTTCCTGGACGTTTCTGATGCTTTGTAGTTCTTTTAGAACATCTTACTGTAGTTTTGCATCTCCTTGCATTTTTTAAAAGTTACTTGGTGTCCCTCTGCAGTCCTCTCTTTGTAGTAAGTTGTATCAGTGTATTCAATTTCTTTATGCTCTGTCGTCAATTAGAATTATTTTGCATTCATGTTTTTCATTATCCTTCTGGCCATTTGTGTCTCTTTGAAGTTATTTTGAACTTCATTCTGTAATTATTTAGTATCTAACTGAAGTAGTTTTGTGTCTCTGTATTTTTTGCATTAGGTAATCCATCGAGAATATGAACATATTTCTAAACATGACTTCTTACCTCACCGTCAGCCCTGGCCCTGCTTTACTTTCATGCATAATGTTATGTAAGGTTAGTTTACCTTTCTGACTGAAGGCATTTCAGTGGCCTCTCCCTGAACTCTGCATCCTTAACTATCCTGGCTAGTATATATTATGTAATAATCTCTATTCAAACAGTACACCCTTCCCCTCATTTATCAACCACTTTATTACCACCTCTCCCCATTCCTACATTTGTGAAATGCTTCACCTAACAGCGTCCTTTATTTCATCACCCACACCCCGATCAACAGCGGTGAGGAAATGCATGCCATTCCTCTGCAGAGGAACACAATGACAGCCATCAGTCAGCGGTGGGGGGTGCTGTGCCAACATGCGACTCTGCAGGCCAAACCTGTATATGTGCACACTATCCTCACATGTCCTGCCGAAAAGATGAAAAAATTCATCAGGTGTCATAGAGGACGGTAAGTTATATTTGTTATCTGCGCTGTGACACTTTAACCCAGTGGGGGGCGCAGAGGCATGACAGGGGGTGCGCGAGAGACCAGGTGGAAAAATGTTTTAAAAAAAAAATAAAAAAGATAAATCATAATTTGAAAAATTATTGATTCTAAAAATATATGATACAGTACAGTACAAGTACATCTGGGTCTCTATGTTTCATTCAAGCTCGGCTCTGTGTGTGTGTGGAACGAGCCATTTTGTGTGCGTGCGCGAGAGAGAGAGAGAGAGCGCACCGGTACTGGAGATCGTTGTTGTTAGCTTCTGGTGCTAGCGAGCTAGTTGCCGGGTCTCAAACGGTTTGGTCACGATTAATGTAATTTCCGAGGCACACGTTTATATGATCATTATAGTTATACAAAAATAAGAGAATAAATGAAAAACAGGTATGAAATACGATATGACATTAAAAAAAGAATAAAGTTTAAAAGGGGAGTGATTTGTAAAATATCCATAAAGAAATAGTAAATCTGTTTACAGTTCTGTTTCAAATGGGTGTTGAGAGATGTATCCATAGATCTCTTAATGTTGCTCTCAAAGTGCACCAGATTGATTCTTTTAACTTCAATATTTAAAAACAAATCTTCCCGGGGGAGCATGCCCCCGGACCCCTATGTGAGGTCCACTCCCCACTTACACCTATATGCCGTGAGCTGATTATCGAGCCTTCATTGTAACAGTTGCAGGTACACTGTGTATTTGTGGGGGGATTGTTGCAGTAGAACATTCAACTGTATAGACCGGTACATTAATGGGAAACCCTAAATGTTTGAGCACCCTCTATGAAACGTCAAGCTACCCCACAGCACCCCCAAAATAAATCTCTGGCGCCGCCACTGAGCCTGCAACCCTGTTGTGAAGAAATGTGCAGTGCAAAACAGGCTCATTCCAGCCACTAATGATAAGACACACTTTTTTGCCAAATATCAGCATTTTCTTTCTTTTCCTTTTTTTGCACAGATTGCAAAGTAGCAAAGTATTATAACTTATTGTTCTAGCAAAGGGATTGCACAATTGTATTATGTATTTCTTTTTTTGACCACACAGACTTATGGAGCATTGTTTTATTATCACTGTTCTGGAAAAGAGATTTTTTTGAAAGGAATGCTCACGTTCATATTGATGTATTTTAATAAATGTTAACTTGGCCCATTACGTGACTATTTGTGTTGGGGGGGCCCGACTTTTTTTTTTCTCCAAAGGGGGGGCCTGACAGAAAAGGTTTGAGAACCACTGCTTTAATGTGTCATACCCACTT